TACAGCCTAGTCTCAAAATATTTTAGTCACGTCAGGATGCCGACTCTTTAACGATCTTCTTTCTGACAGCTAAATATGTGTATGCAATGTTAAAAGTGACTACTTAATTTGTATGCATTTTTAACATGGATTTTGACTGTCTTTATAAATTCACATATATCCTATGGAAAAAATACAGGAAAAGTATTTCTTGTAGTCTTTTGGTAGCAAATTGCGCCTTCTATAACTTTTATACTTAAAGAAGGAGTATCTTTCGGTTTTAAAAACGTTTCTAATTGTGAGCTTTTTTATGATTATGAGGTGGTCATTCATTATACATCTCATCCGTCAATTTATTAATGCTTCCTATAATGTGTACAGCAATCTCTACATCTGTTGCAATATTTTATGAGAATGATGGGACTTTTTCCTCAAGCCGGAGGAAAAAGAACTTACCTTTCCTTCAACGGGATGTACACAGCGCGCAGTTTTTAAAACTTGAATTCAAATATAGCAGTCCGTAGTTTTCAAAATTATTCAGCAATTTAGAAACTTCTTCAAAACAGAAATTTTAAGTATAAAATTTAGAGAAGGCGCAATTTGCTACCAAAAGACTACAAGAAATAATTTTTTCAAGCATTTTTTCCATAAAATATATTTGAATTTATAAAATCAGTTAAAATCCATGATGAAAAGGCATACTATTAAGAAGCCAATTTTTAGAGTACAAACACTTCATTAGCTGTCAGAAAGAAGATTGTTAAAAATACGGCACCCTGACATGACTAAAACATATTGAGATTGTACGATTATCATTATTACAAACATACGTAACTAAAATGTTTGAATCGAAAACGCATTTCAGAATTCCGGGTGACATTTCGTGAGATAGGGAATCTACCGTAGTTCAGAGCTGGGGGCAGCAACAAGCTGTGATACTTAAGCAATTGATACGGAGGAGAAACGTCCCACCTCCATCATCTTACACGCCATACTAGCAAGCTTTGCAACATCGAAATCGTCTGACATAGCAACCATAATGGTTTGAATAAAAGAGGGCAGGTGCTCCAAAAACATATCCTGGAAAAATTTCGCATCAATAGTCATGTTGCCAACAAGAGGACGCATCCGACTGAGAAATGCGGGTGACTTAAGATCACCTAGCTACTCTTCTTTCACCAGAGAGTGCTAACGCTGGCGATCAGAAACGGAGATCAGGCGTAAAAGTTTTGTCTTAGGTTTTGAATAAGGGTTTTCCGCTGGAGGATCGCTCATAAGGGTCTGAAGTTGAGCTAGAATTGACGAAAGAAGAGCTTCCACCAACTTATAAAACTTGTCTATCGCTTCAGTTATCTTTGCAGAATGAAAAGACGCCTCAATGCAAAAAATAATAAAGTTCTGGCGCTTTTCGCCAAAATTCGGGCAAAGATTCTGTAACCGAAATAACAGAGATAGGACTATTCGGTTTGGTCATTACAAGGGCAAAATAAAATAATTTGTGAGCCCAAAAAGGTAAGTGCGTATCAGAACGTAAAACATGTGTGAAGTCGGAAAAAGTTACCAATATGGTTAGAGTTTTTCCACTATGATCTCAGACTTTAGTTAGTAAATTTGAAATCTCACAATCCTCAAAAACGACAAGATGTTAACGGTATGTAAAATATTACGGAGAATAGGTACAACCTAAATCTTGTTATACACGCGGCTAAAATCCTAGCGGTGTTGTCGGTGTATTCGAAGACTAGGGAAAATCAAGGGAAATGGAGGAGAGAATGCTAAAGGTCACAAATAGTCGGGAACCGCCACAGATACACGAAAGTGTATATTTTTAGGACTTAGGTGGTTCTTCTGTGTATTGCCTTGCCGTATCTAATTTCATCGACGTGAAGAGAGACACAACCTCAAAGGATACCGTGATTTCGTCTGCAGCTGTTTCAAGTCCTTACAATTTGTTTGGAAATTCCATACAATTTTTGATTGATGTTTCACAATATTTTGTCAGATGGTGGAGTATTCAGAATAGCCATTGCGAAATTTTATAATTAGGTCTGCCCACTAAGGATACCATCAGCCGTAGTAGTAAAGCTGAGTACCATATGACAAAACGGTCTTTTTCATTTCTCAGTAAATGACGCAGGCATAAACACTATTCACACAAATGTTCCCGTAGCACCATCGCATACCAAAGTTTGCCGAGGTTAGGGATTACCTTGGGGCGATTTACAGTTGCTACCGGAATTTCTCTTGCTCCATTGCACCAAAATATAAAAACAATCTGTATCTGCGTTGGTGATCTTCATGGAATAAATAGAACTGGACTAGTTGAGGACTAACAGACCCATTGCCGTCGATCGCAAACTTCTACGCTCACCTGCAGAGAATTTTGCATACATTGAGTGTTGCCTAGGCAAACTGACAACGAGAAATGGCCATGCAAACCGAAGCTACATTGACGGCCAGAAACAAGTGAAACTATGCCTTGAGAGAAATAACGGAATTTAAATATAGCGCTGTTAGTTCACTAAAGTTAATGGTTTCAATCTCAAGACTGATATCAAAGTAGATCACAGGGCAGGCGATGATTTCCGAATATTTTCCTTCATATTAAAACTTAACTTTCTGAGGAGTATGAAAGACTGCACAAGAATGGCTCACTTTGTGCTACGTTGCCTATGTTATATTTCTCTTAGAATATGGGAGTTGTTTGTGAACAACGAATCCGGTCCTTATTAATCATTTGTCATAGAAAATTCATCAGACTCGGTATGCTGTTTTGTCTTTCAATTAATTTAAGTTGACCCAATTGTGAAAAGGTCGCGGAGTTCGGCGGAATTTGAACCAATATTTTAGGGAAGGCCTTTACGCGAAGCTAATGGTCTACCAGTTGAGCTACAAACGCCTGCTTGCACCGTAAAGTTAATCACACTTAAATCGATTTCACCCGCCCAACTATACCGCTCGTATGGAATTCACCAATGCGGAACAGCAAGCTTGGTTTCCTAAGCCGTATAGATGGGCGGGTAAAATCGATCCAAATGTGTTTAAATTCACGCTGCAAGGCAGGCGTTTGTAACTCAATTGCTAGAACACTGGCTTCGCGTAAAGGCCTTCCGGACTATGCATGTTAAAATCCTGCCGAACGCCGCGAGTTTTTCACAGTTGGGTTAACAGAAATTAAGCAAATCTGCAAAACCATTAAAATTAATTTTAAACGGCTGCCTCCATATGGAACGTGGTTTTCAACTCTCTTGTTAGCACTCAGTGTCTTAACACCATGTCAACGTACCTTCATAAAATTTAAAGAATTTAGAAAATGTAAGCCATTACAAAAAACTGAATGCGAAGCTGCCTGCATCAGTAAAAGAAAGAGGCGGACCAAGGCCTGGAACGATTTTTTTTTCTGAACTTTTGAATTCGCGTAGGAGTTCATCTTCAGAGGTACCGGCAGCGTCAACGTAGGTCGGGTCGTTAGGCGATCGCATTTCATTGACGCACGTCTGCAGGTGATTGTGCTGGGCTGCGTATTCCGACGCCAAATGGATATATCGATTGATTAATTTCCCATCCATGGACAAGACATAAATATATTTCTGGGCTCGTCTTGTTTCCGGCGCGGCTTATTATTTTGACGGTTACGATGTCTACCTCCTGGTCGGTTAAGAAGGTGCAAGCCGCCCCTTGCAATAATTCGTCTCGCTGCGCATACAACTTAATATCGTGTTTGCGGGATTTTGAGGAGGCTTTCGATTTGGTCTGTGTATTTAGAAGAGTAGCTTCGTATGGCATACGATGCCCGACCCCTGATTCCTATTACGAGGTCGTTTGTATACATACACCTTTCGTATATGTTTTATTATAACAGATTCTGTGGCACTGTAGACCTTCGGTTGGCCCTTCGCACAGAGAGTCGAAACATTGTTTCCCAACTGCCAACGTCCTCTAACTGGGCTCGAACCAACATGAGGACATTTGTCGGTAGACTACATGACATTAACCTATAAAAAAAGGAGTATCATCGGAAATAATTGGAATAAATGTTAGCTCCGCCGCCTTGTTTAAGATTGCCAAAAAATGCAGCAGCTCACAGTAGGATTGCCTGAATAATTCACAATACTCATTTCACCAACCTCCATAACCGAGGAGGGTCTTCAATTTAATAGTGCACGCATCGCATTGCGCCATCTGTCTGCGCGCACATGTGACCACATGAGACTTGTTCAACACTTTGAGACCTCTGTGTCAATGCAGCATTGAAAGGCAGGAGCTTCAAACGTCGGCCTCTGTCAGTTGTGACTGAACCTTTAGTCGGTCAGCTGTAACTGCATGGATACAAGTTGTGGTGTCAGCAGTTGAAAGGCTGCTTAGCTCTGTGCACCTAGACACGACTGATGTCAGTTCATCCATGTCGGTTATGTGTCGCCGATCCAAAGATGGTGACGAGGACAATGGTTCACCCCACGTATACGTGTATGCGTAAGTCCGTAACGTGCGTAAGTTTTAAATATATTGCACTTTTTGAAAGCAATATGCTAGGATTTTAGGAAATACGTTTCTGGGAGAAGAAGCTCCTTTTCTTCTTCGGCTTCAACAAATTTGTGTTAATTTCCCGCAGCTGCTTTGAATTCGTTAGAAAATGTTTGTTCCATATTTCAGGAAAAACGAAACAGTACATATTAGGTAAGCGAAAATTGAGGGGGAAATAAAAAATCAAAAACTTAAAAGCGGATTCAATAGTTGAGACAACAGTTTTATTCGCCTCAGATGAAGAATGTGCGGTGGATTTCGAAACGTCAAGCCAATATAAGAGTTTTCCCAGCGATCGAATCTTCTTTAAATTGTATCCTGTGACTGGTATGTTCACTGGTATTGGCAATTTTAAAACTCAAGAAAAAGCGCTCGTTATGTTTTCGCCTAAACGTTATTACTTTTATTAATTTAATTAATACGTGACTGAACTTAATAAGGATTAGCTGCTTTAAAGGCTGCTAACCTCTCTTCCACCAGAAGCATGAAAATGTGCCCACATCGAGCAACTTATTCATGTATAAGAAGTGACGGGTAAGCCTAACGACTCTATCAAAACAAACTTGCATCGGTTAACGATTGTCGTTTACACTTACCCAAATCATTCAACGAACTGTCTAGACCATTGAAAAAAAAATAGAAACTAAATATAATACTAGCAATGGGGAGCCACTCCTCACTTAACACACCAAGTGCTGTCTACTTTACCCGTTTTAATATGCCAATGATCATTATCGGAATCTCTACGGAATATTAACTGGCATCAAAGATCTTTGTCCATGTTAACTGTAGGCTCTACAGCAAGAACCAGCTTAACGTCTGAAAATTTTCCACTTATGCTTCTTTTCGTCCTGTGAAATGTATTTGTGTTTCAAAATAGGGAATGATGCTACACAAGTGTTCACGAACTATCTAAGACACTATTAACCAAATTACTAAAACGTGTTTCATATTAGGGGTGATTATTCAAGTGGAATTATAATGATGATATTTTTTAGCATTATCCCAAGATATTGCAGGCACATCAGCATATGGTCTATTGTTCGATATCCTGATAAAACATCACTCAATCAAGAGTGATTACTAATTAAGCGAGTATTTTGTTTTCTATAGATGTTTGATGTGGTCATCTATGCAGTTATATTTTATCAGAGTCATCAACAAAAATATTCTTACTTGTACCTACTTGATAACAAACTTTATCCTTTTACTCACAGACAAGCTATTTTATAAGAACAATATGTTATCTTCTTAAGACCATGCCGAGATTGTGTCCTATTCCACCTAAAGCATTTGCTTAGTGGACTAGGAACTCTAAACGCAGATGAAAAGGCAGAGAGCATTAAAAATAAACCCCGAATTGGAAAGCAATTTAATACAAAACATAAAATTCTTCTCAGTACAAAATGTTCCACCAAAGTCGTTTACAATCAAATAAGTTCAAGGTAGAATATGATTTCTGTAAAGTGTAATGCAATTTTTGTCGGATCTGGGAAATCTGTAGAAAATAAGCCGCATTACACAAGTCTTCATTTTTAAGGAGAGAAGATTTTTGGGGGGGCTGAAAACGCTGGCATCCTGACGTGTCCGAAATAGCCTGAAAT